CCCCGCTCCTGTCCCTGGGCCGCGTCGAGAGCGCTACTTCCTTGTGCTTGTCGACAACTTCACACGCTACACCACAGTCTTTCCCCTGGAGCGCAAGGCCGACGTGTCTGGCGCTCTCATCCCCTGGCTTATCTCTTCGCGTGTCCACCGCGGTCTCCCTGTCTTGCGTCTTCACTCAGACCATGGTGGCGAGTTTGCCTCAGGTGTCCTTGGTCGCTTTTGTCGTGCGGAGGGCATCACCCAGACGTTCACCCTACCGGACTCCCCACAGCAGAATGGGGTCGCTGAGCGACGCATCGGTTTGGTCATGGAGGTGGCTCGCACCTCCATGATCCATGCCGGTGCACCCCATTTTCTGTGGCCGTTCGCTGTGCGCTACGCTTCTCACCAGCTTAACCTGTGGCCGCACCCTCAGCAGCCGCAGGTTTCGCCGACCCGTCTTTGGACTGGGTCTCCTGGTGACGCGTCTGCGTTCCACGTCTGGGGCTGCCTTGCTCACGTCCGTGCCTCCGGCACGGACAAGCTCACTGCCCGCACCCTTCCCTGCGTCTTCCTCGGTTTTCCTCTTGACGCGTCCGACTGGCACTTTTACCACCCGCCGTCTCACCGCTTCTTTCACTCTCGTGACGTCACCTTTGACGAGTCCGTCTCCTACTACCGTCGCTTCCCCCACCGTGGTCCCCCGATTACTCCCCCCCTGTTCCTGGTCCCTCCTTCCCCGGTAGTCCCTGCCCCTCCTCCTCCTCCTCCCCGTCCCGCCCCCTCTGGTGTGTCCCACGTCACCCCCCTTCCGTCCGTGGACCCAGTTGAGGAGTATTCTGACTCTGGTGGCCCTCCTGTGCAGTCCTCGTCAGCCGCCCCTCCCCTGGCGTCCCCTCCCCAGTCCCCTCCTCCACCGCTTTTGCCGCCGCTGCAGCCGTCGTTGCCGCCGCCGCCGCCGCCGCCGCTGCCGCCGCAGCACCCGTTCGCTGCCTCTGGGGGTGCTCGTCCCGGTAGCCCTGGGGGTGGTCCCTCTGGGGGTGCTGGTGTGGAGAGTGTCGGGGGTTGCCGAGGAGCAGCTAGCGGTCCCGGTGTCGCCGTTGTGTCGCCGCAGCAGCAGTCCCCGCCGGTGTCCGCCCTTCGCCTGCTCGGCGTGCCGTCCCCCGACCCTGCGTCGATTCCTCCCCGACCGTCTCCTCCTCTTCCTTTCTACGGCCCTGTTTTCCCTCCGCCGGACTCGTCCCCGGCTCGTCTCCCCCCTCGTTCCCCTTCTGTGTCCCCTCCTCTGTCTCTTGACCCGACTCCTCCGTCGCACGTCTGGTCTCACCGTCCCTCCCGTGCTCGTCCTGCCTCGCCTGTCCTGCGCTCCCACCCTATGTTGCTTCGTTCCCACGCGTCTCGTCCTCCCCTTCTGCCATCGCCTCCTCCTTCCTCCCTTGTTGTTGCACCCCCCCCACTGTCTGACTACCTTCGTGCCGCTCGTCCTCTTGTTCCTCGCGTCCTTGCCTCTCTCGTTACCGACCTGTCTGTTCCGGCCTCGTGCCTTGACGCCCTTGTCGCTGCTGTCGCTGACTTCGCCTCTTCCCGCCGCCTCGACTACGCCTCCGCTCTGGTCTCTGACCCTGCCTGTCCTCCGTCTGTCGGGGGTGCTCCTGCCCTTGGCAGTGACGTCCTGGAGGACCGCCAGTTCGAGCTTGCCTTCCTCTCCGAGGCTGCTCCCCATCTCTGTTCCATGCTGCTAGTCCCTGAGGGTGACCCAGACGCTTTTGACATCCCGACCCCTCGCACTTACGCTGAGGCGACCTCGGGACCCTGGGCCTCGCAGTGGATAGCTGCCATGGAGCAGGAGATGGCATCTTAGAGATCCACCGGCACCTTCATCGACGCAGTTCCCCCGCCTGGGGTGAACGTAGTCGATGGCCGCTGGCTCTTCAAGGTGAAGCGCCCTCCTGGAGAGCCGCCTGTGTTCAAGGCGCGCTACGTGGCTAGAGGCTTCAGTCAGCGCGAGGGGGTGGACTTCTTCCAGACCTTCGCTCCGACCCCGAAGATGACTACTCTTCGGGTTCTGTTACACCTAGCTGCTCAGCGTGACTACGAGCTTCACTCCCTCGACTTCTCCACTGCCTTTCTTCAGGGCAGCCTACACGAGCAGGTCTACCTACGTCGCCCTCCGGGCTTTACTGGCACCTTCCCTCCTGGGACCCAGTGGCTCCTGCGGCGCCCCGTCTACGGCCTGCGCCAGGCTCCCCGTGAGTGGCACGACACTCTCCGTGCTACGCTTGCTGACCTGCAGTTCTTTCCGTCTTCCGCAGACCCTTCCCTCTTCGTTCGTGCTAGCCAGACTCCGTTCTACATCCTTGTTTACGTCGACGACCTGGTCTTTGCCACAGCAGACAGGGACGCACTGGCCTCCGTGAAGGCAGAGCTGCTGAAGAGACACCCGTGCACTGACCTTGGAGAACTGCGCCGTTACCTTGGCTTGCAGATCTCCAGGGACAGAGCTGCGCGCACCATCACCCTGACTCAGTCACACTTGGTGCGCCAGGTCCTTCAGAGGTTCAGCCTTCAGTTCTCCTCTGCACAGCCCACCCCTCTGCCTGTAGACCACAGGCTCTCCACTCCAGTGTCTGAGGAGTTGGTAGAGCCCAGCGGCCCCTACGCAGAGCTGGTGGGTTGCCTCATGTACCTGATGACTTGCACTCGCCCAGATCTCGCATACCCTCTCAGCATCCTGGCTCGTTTTGTGGTCACAGGCAGACACCGACCGCAGCACTGGTCTGCCGCTAAGAGGGTTCTGCGTTATCTTGCTAGTACATCGGGCATGGGGTTAGTGCTAGGAGGACGCAGGCCAGTGGTCCTTACTGGACACACAGACGCTTCGTGGGCAGACGACGCTGAGACACTCAGGTCTACCCAGGGCTACTGCTTCAGCCTTGGCTCAGGTGCCGTCTCGTGGAGAGCTACTCGCTCCTCGTCTGTGGCGCAATCCAGCTGTGAGGCTGAGATCTACGCTGGTGCCATGGCGGCACAGGAGCTCCGCTGGCTGACCTTCTTGCTCACTGACTTAGGTGAGCGGCCTAGCTCTGCCCCGGTCCTGTTCGCTGACAACAGGGCCATGATCCTCTTGTGTCAGGAGCCTCGACTCGAGGGCAGAGCGAAGCACATTCAGCTGCGGTACTTCCTCCTGCGTGAGCTACAGCAGCGACGTCAGGCTCGCGTAGTACACTTGGCCTCAGGTGTCAACACGGCTGATATCTTTACGAAGGCGCTTGCGCCTAAAGATCATCAGCGGCACTGTGTACAGCTTGGTCTAGTTCCTGTAGCCTCTCACTTACTAGGACCTTGACTTTGTACTGTCCTTTATATGTATACTCAGACTGGACTTGTGTCCTCTCCCAGTGGCTGGACTAGTAGTGCCGCCCTGCTCTTGCTCTTGCCTTGTC